GATTTGATCTCAGTCTTAAGAGATGCTATCTCATCTTCATGAATTAAGATTGTAGAGTCTTGTTGCGATATAGTTTTTCTTCTGCCAATTCTTTGCACAACTCTTTATTAGTATCAAGAAGTTTGATATAAGCTTCTTTCTCGGTTATAGTCCTTCGAAAGAATGGATTTGCAAAAAGATCTGGCCTAGTCATTTTAAATTAAAATTTTGGTCTTTTTTCGAATATAAGAAAAAAAATGTTGCTTCCTATTATACAAATAGATTTGAATAAAGCTAGAAATTTAGATATATCTATTGATTTGCAAAAGATTTATTATCAGCCCTTAGGTATCAGAAGACTGCAGAAAAATTGTATGAAGCTTCTCTAAAGCTGGGTTCGATTTTACATTAAATGAAGTACATGATTTGCTTGAGAGACAAGCTGTGCATCAGATTCATAAACCTCCAACTGAAATATAATCTATATGTAAGTTTTAGTTCTATTACTATTCATAATGAGATACATTAAACAGTCATTGATTCCTATTATACAAATAGATTTGAGTAAAGCTAGAAATTTAGATATTTCTATTACATTACAGAAGATTTATTATCAACCTGTTGGATATCAGAGAACTGCTAAAAAATTACACGAAGTTTCTAAAAAAGTTGGGTATGTTTTTAGTCTATACGAAGTGAGAGATTAGCTTGAAAGGTAAGCTATATATCAGATTCATAGACTACAGCTAAAGTATATTCTACAAGTAAGTTTTAGCTCTATTACTACCCCAATGAAGTACATCAGGCAGATATTCTCTACATGTCTTATGATAAGATAGGTTGGATTACTTATCTTTTTGCCTTAATGTAGTGGATGTGGCTTCGAGATATAAAGTTTCTATCCCTATTGGTACATATAGTGTCAAGGATAGACAAAGGATCTTAACTTCAAAGACTATTGCTCGAGCTCTTGAGAAAATCTATAATAATCCTGAGTGTTCTCTTATTTGGCCAGAAACATTTTTAACAGATAGGAGACCAGAGTTCAGGGGTGATTGTGAGAAATTAATGAGAGAGCATGGTGTAAAAATTCAGAAGGCCAAGTCTAAACGTACTATGGGTATTGTTGAAAGTTATAACAAGACTTTATCTAAGAGATTATTTTGTATGCAAGATGCGCATGACTTATTAACATTGCATTTATCTGAAAAATTTCAGGCTTGGGTAAAGAATCTGCCTATAATTGTAGAAGATATTAATAATTCTATAACTCGACTTATAGGTCTATCTCCAGCTATGGCAATAAAAAAGAAGCAGGTCATTTCTCAGTCTTCTAAAACTCAAGAAGGGCCTATAGGCTATGATGAATTGCGATTAACTTATGATGTTTTAATAAGATATTTGCTTGAACTAGGCGAGCTGAAAGGAGATAGTAAACGATGTGCAACTGATAAAAATTGGTCTTCATAAGTTTACCATATTAAAAAATTACTAGTACAAAAAAATCAGCTGGTTCTTTATTGGCTTATAAATAATGAAGGCAATAGTTCTGAATGATCATTTGTACGCGAAGAATTGCTAGTAATTCCTTATGATACTGAATTGCCACCTCAGTAGGTACTAACAAGTTAAGTAAGTTATCAGCTTTGCAATGTTTCGGGTGAAACTAGTTTCGCCCAATTTGATCTACAAAGTATTTTCAAATTAAGGTTTCGTATAGTTTCAGATATATGAGGTGAAACTCAAAGTTCATTGGGCGAAAAGTTTCGGATTTGATAAAATGATTTCACCTGAAACACTACAGCTTTGCATATTTAATCATCTGTAGGTGACATGTTAAGAAGTCCTTGAATAATTCCTTTCGCATTCTCTTTGGATATTTCACATTTTCTTCCTGAGATATTTCATAATAAAGGCTATATAATTTCTCTAGTTTAGTATGCAGTTCCTTCCGATATCATGTTTGAACTTTCTCTATTTTTGTATTATATAATATTTCATCTGGAACTAGTTTTCTTGCAATATATCTAGCATATTCGTCAGGATTTTTTGCCAATCACAATTTTTTTACATAGCTAAGATGATCTCTAACAAATTTACTACTCTCTTTAAAATTCTGGCATATTGCCATTTCCAATACTTCTAACAATGCTTTCTCCACTTTTTTTGCTAACCCTTCTGACATCATTTGAGATAAAGATTCCATTCTTTTATCATTATTAGATGTCATCTCATTTTAATAATCTCAGAAAATATTTAATTTGTAAAATCGTTAGCAGG